AATCATTCTTCTCAAGTTGCTGTCTCCAGGGATCGTGCTTTCAACCTACAGTGTTTATTTTTCTCTCCGTTAACTGCAAAACAACATACGTACAGCTTCTTACCCACATGCCATCATAGTATTATCCTAATGATTCTTCGACTTTGGCTTGTCTCAAACTTACTCATCGATATGCAAACGAGTATATTATGGCAAAATTTTGCACCACGTTTGTTGCACCTGTCATTTTTTTCAGTTTATCTTGCCCCGATGTAGTCATCGAAATTACAGTAGCCCAGTGTTTGGCTAATCGCTTGAAAAAAGGGAGGGCAATGGACACGTACTTGACGACGAGCGTACTGTCTGGTAGCTATTTTCACACGATCGATTGCTGAACTGAGGAGCTGTTGACCAACGGGGGATGCTCGTTCGGATGCGGCTGGTAATGCAAGATAATCCGCAAATTCTTTGAATCCGATGCTTTGTAGAATACCTCGTCGTACAAACGGATCGTTTACAGCTCGCGCTTCGTCTCCGAAAAGTCGTTCCAGTTTGGCAGACTCGGTGGTCACTGGTGAAAAGAAAAACAGTAAGAGTGAAATCTGCAAATAAAGTCCTCGATCACGAAACGAAAGGAGTGTAAACTGAAAAGCTCTGACATGCTGAGTAGAATCAGCATTGTTAGTAAACTTCACATGCGCCTGCGTGAAGTAAATCACAGCACAATAAGTTGTATAGAAAAGAAGTTATAGGACTCGCTCCAGGGTGCAAAACTGTTGGTTTGTCCCGGCAAAGGTAAATGAATTTTCATGGTGAATTTACTACCGGATCCAAGCTACCCAATACACCTCGAACCCAATCGGGCAGGCGATCACTGCCACAACCAGGAAGATGTGGGTGCGTATGGTTTGTACTCCATCTCTTGAATGGTTCCGAAGTTTTAGCCAACTCCCTTAGGCGAACTGCCAGTGGTTCACCAACCCGGTCATAATCCCGGATAATGGCTTTTCATACCATTACTTTGGTGGGAAAATATCTCCGTCACAGGAGGGCAGTAAGTAGGGCTTCCTCAGCAGAGGCTATTTAAGACGCTTGGTAGTACAGGAGCATTTTGCGAGGTGCACATGTACACCTTAACATGTGACTAGAAAAAATTATTAGTGAAGAATAGTGAAGTACCGAGCAACATTCACTGAGCAATCAGTCACGTTGAGCGAACAAAACAGATCGAGATGGTCATGGCAAAAATGCGCATCAAGTGAATATCGCTGTCGACTGTGATATGTAATCGGGAATTCAAGACCGTGCATTCCTGGTGGACAA